TATTTACTTTTGTAGTTGAATACTTTTATCATATCAAATTTAATTCGACAATAAATAATTTAAGAATATTAAAAATTAATGATTTTAATTGTTTGTATGGACAAATCTAGTTAAGCTACTTTTTATTTGAATAAGGAATATTTTTTTGATTTTTAAGAGTAATAACTTAAACTAATCATTAACTTAAATATCATAAACTTAAATGAATCATTTGACGTATCGTTGAAAAAAGTAGGTCTAGTGAGGGTTGGCAAAATAAATCGTAGCCAGAAAAAGAACCACATAGTAAAATAATATTAACATGAATATCAATTTCTTCTCACGAGGGGAGACTATAGTGATAAGATCCTTTATATTTATTGAAATTATTGAATCTAAATGAGATAAATATCAAATGATTTGAAAATTCTATTCTAACTCAAAAAAAAAATGCAAAATTTTAGAAGCCACAAACGGATTTGAACCTCGTACCCTAGGCGTTAAAGATCAAGGTGTTACCCATTCGGCAACTATTCGTTGATTTTTGTTGCATGATAAAATTGGCTATTTAAGCTAACTCAAATTTAAAAATTACTTTTTCGACTTTAAAAAAGTAAAAAATGTTAATAAGTATAATATCATATGTCTTATGAACTTTATTCTATGTCAATGAAATTATATAATATTCATGAAAGTCAGTTTATTCCCCTAATAAAATATTTTAAAATAAAATAAAATACAAAACCTAGAATTTTAATAAAAAATAGCATATTTTTAAATACGGTAGCCTTTTGCGCATAGAAGATAGGTCGTCGGGACAAATTTTTTTTTTTCATTTAGTAGTACATAAAATAAGCTTTAATTTGATATATGTTTAAAGGACGCAGTATTTCCGGAACATTTTCAAAAATTAAGTTGAAAAAGTTAGTTTTTGTAAAAAAGTTGCTATTTTAAATCCCCCCTGTGAGCAGAATAAGTGTTAGATTTTCAAAAAAAAATGATATCAAATGAAAGAAAATTACCTAAGGTTTCAATATAAAGAAATATTATTTTGATTAGTTAATATTTGAAAAAGTTATGGCAGTTTTAAGTACAAAAAACATCGTTATAAAAGGTGATTTTTATCGCAAATATTACATTTTTTTTATAATTTCGACAGCCATTTGCACATAGAAGATAAGGTGTCGGGACAAATTTTTTTTTTTCATTTTATAGTACATAAAAAAAGCTTTAATTTGATATATGTTTAAAGGACGCAGTATTTCCGGAACATTTTCAAAAGTTCAGTTGAAAAAGTTCTATTTTTTATACAATGTTTCAAAGTTTGAACCCCCCCTATATAAGGGGAAATTGTCTAATTTTAATAAAAAGTATGTCAAATGGAAGATGTACTTATAATGTATTTAGAAAAAAAAAAATTGTGCTGATACATGCATTTTTCGAAAAGTTATAGCATTTTTAAGTTGAAAATTAAAAATTGAAAATCGAAAATTTTAACACAAAAATAGTGTTTTTTTAACTACGGCAACCGTTTACATGCAGAAGATAAAGTGTCGGGACAAATTTTTTTTTTTCATTTTATAGTACATAAAATAAGCTTTAATTTGATATATGTTTAAAGGACGCAGTATTTCCGGAACATTTTCAAAAATTAAGTTGAAAAAGTTAGTTTTTGTAAAAAAGTTGCAATTTTAAATCCCCCCCCATGAGCAGGTTAAGTGTTAAATTTTCAAAAAAATTATATCAAATGAAAGGAAAATATCTAAGGTTTTAGTTTAAAAAAAAATTATGTTGATTTGTTGATTTTTGAAAAAGTTATGGAAGTTTTAAGAAAAAAAAGTGAAAAAAATAACAAAATTTGTCAATTTTTAAATTTGTAATTTTTTTTGATATTTCCCCCATTTGCGGGGAACGAGGGAAAAATTTTAAATTTTTAAGGGTAATGTCTTCAACTAGATACAATTTGTGATCTTTTGACGTATTGTTAAAAAAAATCGGTCCAGTGAGAGCTGAGAAAAAGTAGTGACAGACACAAAAAAATAAAAAAAAATAAAAAAAAAAATAAACACATCATGGTAAAATTAATACCTTCTCAGCTTCGCATCGAAGCTAATAATTAACCGAATTTCCGTTCAACGGTGACAAACCCAATGGGACGGTACTACCAACAACAAATTAAAAAACGTCCATAAAAAAAAATTTCCATATATGGCGTTCGCCTATCAACTCAGCTCGCATAGTAAATCACCAAAGTCAGAATAGGACATGCAAGACTCACACACTCGTACATTTTCAATAAGAGAAACATTTAACACTCTACTGACCCACATACAAGGAGGAATGGAGTATTCTAGGCCACCCCAACAACATGGAGGAAGCTCTGGGCGAAGCCAACACGCATGCCATTTAAAGATTCTATGAAACCGCAAAATTTAATTATAAATATGTGTATACAGCTTTAATCAATCGATTGTCAACTTATAACTTTAATTAATATACAACTAATAATAAAGTAAAAATAAAACTGTAGGTTAATGTCAATAAGTTGTCAAAGCCTTTTCATAAAAAAAAAAATATATATATATATATGAGAATTAATATTTATATCCCTCTTTCATTCGACATACTTTATCTTAATGAGGATATAATTAATGAAATAGCAGATCATGTAGCTTTTTGAATAATCCAACATTTTTCAGCTTCGCATTGAAGCTGAGAAGGTATTCATTTTACAATGATGTATTTTTTTTTTTTTTTATATATATCTGTTGCCACTTTTTCTCAGCTCTCACTGGACCGATTTCTTTCAAAAATACGTCAAAAGATCACAAATCGTATCTAGTTGAAGACATTACCCTTAAAAATTGAAAAAAATTCCCTCGTTCCCCGAAAATGGGGGAAATATCCAAAAAAATTACAAATTTAAAAATCGGTAAATTTTGTCATTTTTTTCACTTTTTTTTCTTAAAACTTCCGTAACTTTTTCAAAAATCAACAAATCAACATAATTTTTTTTTTATACTAAAACCTTAATGTTTTAAACTTTTAATGTTTCGGGAATACTGCGTCCTTTAGACATATATCAAATCAAACATCTAACATTAACTATTTTGAATATATTTTAGCTACAATTAAAATTACAAATTTATAAATCGGTAAATTTTGTCATTTTTCTTCTTAAAACTTCCATACCTTATTAAAAAATCAACATAATTTTTTTTATATTAAAACCTTAGATATTTTCCTTTCATTTGATATCATTTTTTTGAAAATCTAACACTTAATCTGCTCACAGAGGGGGTTTTAAAATAGTAAATTTTTTACAAAAACTAACTTTTTCAACTTAACTTATGAAAATGTTCCGGAAATACTGACACTTTTATATATACCTTAAATTAAAGCTTATATAATATACTTTATTTTGAAAAAAAAAATTGATTTCTGGACTTGTCTTCGTTGTGAAAACGGACATGAAAGTTAAAGAAAAACGTACGATTTCCGTGAAAAAATTCTCGATTTTATATTTTATATTATTAAATTTATATTACTATAACTTTTGGAAAAATGTATGAATCAATATTATTATTTTTTTATAATAAATTTTTATATACCTCTTTTATCTGACACTTTTTTTTTTAATAGGATCATATCCCTTTATAGAAGGGGGATCAAAACTTTTAACTTGCGTATTGAAACTAAGACATAGATTTGCATCGAAGCGTTTTTTTTTATAGTGATTTTAATCATTGTCAGATATCATTATACTTGATCCAACTATGCTATGTCACCACTGTGCGGCGACCCCCTGTGCTGGGTTTTTTTTTGTATTTGTAAATGCTTATTTTTTAATAATATTAAAACTTAGAAGTGATAGAAAAATTTTAATTGCATATTTGAAAACATCGAAAAAGGTTGATTTAGAAAAGTACATTTTTGTTTCTGATGAAAGTTTCTTGTAGTCCAGTGTATAAAACTTATAACTTTATTATAAATAACAAACATTTTTTATTGAAAAGTATTGCGTCAAGCTCTTTAAATTTTTATACACGTTTAAAGTAAAGAAATATACAACTAACTTTATTATTTTTATAATATCTCCGTAAAAATTACAATATTAAATTATTAAGTATCAATTTCATACTATATTTAATTACTAAAATTATTATTTATTCATATATAATATTTATAACTCAAATAACTAATCGGGATAAAATTACGGGGATAAGAGTTATTGTTGTTTTTGAATAATCTACCAATTTCTTAAAATTAAACAATATCTACAGATTTGCATCGAAGCATTTCTTATGATAGTGGTTTTAATCATTGTCAGATATCATCTATACTTGTCCCAACTATGCCATGTCCATACTGTGCTACCGTCTTTTTTTTTGTTGATTGCACATGTTTAAAAATAAAATGTCGGTCAAAAATAGTTCAAAAGTTATAGCACTTTTAAGTTTGCATATCTATGTTATCAGACCGTGTGTACGTCATTATTTTGCTCATTTACGCAACCTTCTACAAGTATTTATACTTATGATTTATAAGTTTTAAATAATAAAAATAAACTAATAATATTAATCTAGTTGGTGAATTATCATGCCAAATAATCCAGAAATGGTTGCACGACTACCTCAATTTTTTTTTAATTTTCAGTTTAATCTTTATATTATGTATAGATAAAAAAACACAATTATAATTTTTTTATGACCTTTTCATTTTTATGGTCATTTCATATAACAAACATTAAAAATAGTTTTTATTTAAAAAAACATAGCTACTTCAATATTAATTTAATATTTCTATCCGATACTTTTTTCTCAAACATTATATTTTTTTAGTGCACTTAACAGATACGAATTTTTATTTAAATTATATCATTATACTTGGATCTTATTATCTAGGTTGTCTACCGACATCTAAGTTAATAAAAAGATAAAACTTAGTAATTGTTTGAGGCGCACTGTTCGTTTCCGTTACGTCACCATGTGACCGGTATGATGTATATTGCAGGGATAGTGTTCGAGTACAGCCATCTTGTTTGTTATTCCATTTGTGTGCCGATACGCTGTCCTATGTATTAAAAGACCGCTATCGCTAAATACGAATTTCGAACGTTTTCATCGCGCGGGTTGCAAATATTTTTTCTATAACGTTTCTTGAATGGTTGTAACACGCTGGTTTACACGCCACCAAATCACTTTGTCGATTGTGATGTATGTTAGATGCATATATTATTTTGTTTGACGATAGCAGAAAAAAAATTGGGCGTACACTAAGTAAACCTGTCAAGTTTGTTTTTGTCGACGGCGAAAAAGAATTTTCGGAATACAGACGTACCCTAGGGTTCGGTAAACGGATAAAATCTAAAACATTCAAAACGAGTCCAGTTCAGAATATTATGAATCACATGGTCGAACGTGACAGTCAGAATGACGCGCCGGAAGAAATGGATACCACCGAAGGTATGTTTATTCATATAAAATTTTATGTACCCGAGATTGTTATAATGGTGTTATCTTAATAATAAATATTACAATTACAATAAACATTTAAGATCTCACGATTTTTTAAAAATATTTTTACTATTATATAAATGATTTTCTTTTATCTCCATTTTAGACTTTGATAGATAACCTATCAAAAAATAGGAACAATTTAATTATCTGCAAATTTATACCACTGTCTTTTCCTTATCATTTTGTGGTCCTATTATAAATTTAAAAAAAATGGATTTACTTTTTTGCTTTTAATCAGTACATGTAGCTTTCTTGTTATTACATTACTATTGAATAATTACCTTGAAATAAAATAATTCTCTCGTTAACAATAAATTGGTTATATTTTCTCCATGTGGCTTTTTAATAGGTAATTTTAGACTTTTTTACCATTAGAATCAGTTCATTTACTTCATACTTTTTTCAGATTATATTATTTTGATTAACAACTCAATATATAGTAAACATTTGGTAATCTGCTACCTAAAAGAAAAACAAATATATATTTTCATATTTGTTAATTATAATATGTATATATTTATATATTATTAAATAATATTGTAAATTTATAAAAAGTGAAACTTTTTGTTTAATGTGATATATTAAAAATTTACCACAGTAAGAATATAAAGAAAATCACTGTTAATTAAAGTTTGACAGTGATTAAAACCATTAAGCACATTGTTATGTTTAATGATATGATACTGAGAACATCTCAGTATTAGTTGAAGCAGAAAACGCTAATTAAAATATTGTATTTTTAAGAAAATTAACTATTTGTTATTATTATTGTTGTGTAATTAAAATATTGCTTTTGATATGTTTATACAAGAAATGCCTAGGAAGCTGATCAATTTTCATGTGCATTCATTCTGTAGTATTATGTAAAATCATAAAACATAATCTATCACTATAGTATGTTTTTAGATTTTAATTACTATTGTATACTTATTTTTGTAACATTTTGAGTAAAAAAAAAATCAACAAAATTATAATTCACTTTCTCTAATAAAAAACTGGTTGCACTACTAATAATCATTATAATAAAATTTAAAAGTGTAAAATATAAAATTGAATATAATTTAAGTTCTTGGTTAAACAAAACCAGTTTAAGAATAAAAAAATTATTAAATTGGTTATCTTTTAAAAGTTATATATATTTTCTTCATAGTTTACAATTAAAAGAAATATGATTACTTGCCACCCCTTTCCCCAAATTGGCTCTAGAGTACTTCTGAACATTCTCTATAATGGAAGGACTGATGACAAATTTTTGTCAGACTATTTTTAAAACACTGAAGGAGTGACAATAAATAGACTGAAGTGTCATAAGCTCAAGGCTTATAAGGATACTTTTAGAAATTGGCGGTTTGATAAATGAAACAATATTATTTGGTTAGATCAAAACTACAATGAAATTTGCTATTTAATTGCCACATTTCATATCCTCTTAAAGACTTTTTCAAAAAAAAAAATGGTAATCCAATTTATTTAATGATTAAAATTATACTTGATTTTGAAATCTAGTCATTTTTATATAAACAACAAATAAAATAAGTAAATTCTTTATTACTAATAATAATCCCTCTGATTAAAAATTGAGTTAGGTTATTGAAATTTTTTTAATTAGTTCAGATAATAAATAAACAATTGAATGAAAATTAAAACTCGTATGATGACAAATTTTTCAATCACATAGTGTTTTAAATAATAATGCATAATCTCTAATGACTATGTGTTACACAAAAAAATTATGATGACACAATATTTTTTAAATATTTTGCATTAATTTAATTAAGTCTTATTACTTTCAGTTATAGAATTTGATAGCAATATATCTCCTCAAATTATGCGTAACAATCACGATGCTTCTGTTATAAATGATATAGATATTCAAGGATCAGAACTACCTTCTTCAGCTGATATTGAAATGGAAGAAGGTAAACAATAAAAAATAAATAGTTATTATATTTTTCAATTAATTTTTTTTAGATAATGCTCGACCAGAAGCTACTTTTCGTTATGTAATTGAAAATTTTAGTAAATCTAAAGAGCAAAGACTATCCCCACCTTGTTATGTCCGTGATCTTCCATGGAAAATTATGATAATGCATAGAATGGGACAGGACAACAGGTCTGCCAAACCTACTCAGCCATCTGTAGGATTTTTTCTCCAGGTTTGTAAAACTAGACTAAAATATTTTTATTATTTTTATTTTGTAGTATATTTTTCTTTATGTATATAATTGTCAAAAAAATATAATACCAATGGTATTTAGTAAAAACTGACCAATCAAATATTTATAAAAATGATTAATGTGTCAATGTAAGTTGTGAAATAGTCATATATAATACTATATCTTATGATTCAAATTGTTTTACTAATATAGTTAAATTATTTTCTTATCATGTATGACAAATTTATTTTTACATAAAAAAATTTGTGGCTAATCTTAAAAATTAAAAATATATTAAAGTTTTAAGTAATCATTTTTATAAATTTTTTGCTATAATAGCTAAATTAATGGAATTTATAGGTTTAAAATTTAATGTTTTTAATTCATAATAGTATAAAAATTAGAAAAATGAACAATTTTGAGTTGTCACTTTTCTTATTGTTTGATGATATATATTATTTAATATATAAAACATTTTAATCATTTATTTTAATATTTTAATTAGTGTAATGGTGATTCTGAAAATAACTCCTGGAGTGTTAATGCAACTGCTGAACTTCGTGTGATATCTCAAAAGGACGGTGTTTCAAATGTAGAAAGAAAAATTCAGCATTTATTTTATCCAAAAGAAAATGATTGGGGATTTAGTTTTTTCATGTCATGGGAAGATATTACTGATGAATCCAAAGGATACATTAAAAATGATACTGTTATATTTGAGGTAAAATAGATTTTCAAATATCAATTGACATTAATTTTTCACTGTATTCACAATTTTAATTATTATTTATTTTTATCTTCTCTTAAAAGCTATTACTTGTGTCTGAAAGGTTAGGATTTCCTATATAGCCTATTACAAATAATATTGAAACTCAGTTCCTGCCTAAGACAGGACACATTCTTAACTGAGTTAAGTAGGTCACCTAATTTTTTTTAAAGCTATATTTTAGCATTATCATAGTAACTTTTTAATTCCATTCAAATCATTATTCAGATTAAATTGATATTTCAAATCAATTTGATATATTATAAAGTTTTCTTGATGACAAATTGATAATGTTTTGCATTAAGTCAAAGATCAGATATGGTGGAGTCTTATGTATTTGACCAATGTGAATTTTTTTTTTAAATTTTACTGGTAAAATTTTTCTATTGTGATTGATAATTTTTATACATTTCTTGCACATAAATGTCTGTTTGACTTTCTTAAAATAACTTCATCTATATGACAAAAAATTTCCAAGCCATTACACTCTTTGGAGTTTTTAAAGGCTATTGGTGATGAATTTGTTTGAGCAAATAAATGAGCACTCTAATGAAAAGTGGAGTAAATGATTTGTAGTAATGCAAAAATAGGCAAAGGAGTGTTTTTAGGGCATTTTGACCAAGGTTGGATATTTGGGGATTTGGTCAATTCAGGAGCATCAGGGTTGTAGAGACCAAGGGTATAGAATAATAAAGACAAGTAGATATTAAAAAAATGATTAAAGTTCCTCTTTATTGAGGAATAAAAAAAACTAATTAATTGATAAGCACCTTTAATAGGACACTGGGGCAACGAGGCCGTAATCCGACCCACAAATACCCAGTCGAAGTGTCTATTAATACAGTCAGATACACATTAGGTTTTTACACTCTTATCTCAAGACCCTGTAATGTGTATATGTATAAAGTGCGAATAAATTTGTAAAAATTACTAAAGAGAATATTGATCTATTGCTTTACCATTCTTTACTCAGATTATTAATTCTAAATAATTGGGATAATTTAAATTTACTTACTCCTTTTAGGTAGCTTGTTTAAAGATCGTTGATAATTAAAATATTAAAAGTGTAACTCTTTCTTTTTATTGTGTTATTTTGCACACAAAAAATTTATGTAATATATCTTTTCAAATAAAGTAAAGACTCAAAATAATTATATTTTAATATTGTGTTAAAGTATACCGACGACAACACGGGGTTGCGGCTAATTGATAAAAATTCACTTGACAAGAGAGCTCTGAATTCTATATTGAATTCAGAACTTTAAAAGTAAAAAGGTCTGTTTTTCTAAAATTCATCTTGGGATGTTGTCGTTAGCGCTTTTTATTGTGTTAAAGTGAACATAACATTATAATTATTTTAAGATATGATACATAATATTATAATAATCAATTTAACATATATATATATATATATGTGGGAAAATGCAAACAGGCAATTACAGGAACAGAGCGAAGACGCAATACTATTATTTAATTTATATATTTATAAATTAATACACAAAAACTCTATTAAATGTTAACAAGCAAAAATAACACATATATTTAATTACGCACGAAAACTCTATATATAAAATATTCACACAACACAGAAATAAAATATAAAACAGAATACACTTATAAACTAAAGAATATACATAGAGACACGTTTTAGCCGACTCACGACTTGACTTAATCTCCCTCTATGTACTTGATACCACTATCTATCTCCAGACCCTGGAAGTGGTGCCATCTAGATACCATTAGTACCCACACATATATATATATATGATAGCTAGTACAACAGTGTATATGTTATATCAGATAAATTAAATTAATTATTTGTTTGTATACAATAATTATAAAATACAGATTATACATTTTTCATTGATAAATGTAAGATGCGCAATGCAAAGCATTAGGCATATTACGACAGATTTAAGTCTTTCTCATCGATAATTGACACTGTTTTCATTTGAAAGATCTAATATACTAATTATTTTATTTCCAAATACTTGCATTGCGTGATAAGTGTATACACTTTGGGAAAAATTTATCTTTTGACCTGTAGTAGCCTTATAAACTTACTAACTGGATGTATCTGGATGATTAGACCTTCGTTATCACAGGTTTAAAATACATGAAAAGTCATGGAATTTTAAAATGGTCTGGGAAATCATAGAAAAGATTTTTATCTAAAAAAATGTTTTAAAATATATATTTAAGTAGAAAATCATAGAAAACTACAGAAAATTGAAATTGTTTAAATTTGTGGAAATCATGTTGGTGTAACAATAATGTTATTATATTACTTTTTTTGAAAATTATTGCTTTGATTTTTATAAACTTAAAAGGTAAATAATATTATTGATAGAAATAATGTTTTGACTTTTTAAATGTTATTAAATTAAATGTCAATAAACTATTGTATTTTAGTTTCGATGCGAAGCTGAGAAGGTATTGGTTTTATTAAGATGTGTGTTTTTTTTTTTTTGTGTCTGTTACCACTTTTTCTCAGCTCTCACTGAACCGATTTCTTTCAATGATACGTCAAAAGATCACAAATCGTATCTAGTTGAAGACGTTACCCTCAAAAATTGAAAAAAATTCCCTCGTTCCCCGTAAATGGGAGAAACCTCCAAAAAAATTACAAATTTAAAAATCGCTAATTTTTTCAATTTTTTTTACTTAAAATTGCTATAACTTTTTTAAAAATAACCGAATCAATATAATTTTTTTTTATATAGATGCATGATATCATTACCTTTCATTTGGTATATTTTTTATATGTGACCCTTTACTTGCCCACAGGAGGGGATTTAAAATGACAACTTTTTCACAAAAAATTAATTTTTTCCACTTGATTTATTATCTAAGAAATTTACTATTGCTATCTTTAAATTTCATCATTTTTTCTTTTTTATTAAGTTCTGAATCCACTTTATATATTATTATTTATATTTGCATCAATATTGTTATTGTGAATTTAGAAAGTTTTTTCTCATCTCCTTTTTGCTAGCCATTGTTTCACATACATATTTTGCTATATGACACAGTTAGGTGTGTATAATCTTAATTGTGATAATAGCTTAGAACATTTTGATCATTCAGTAATAGTTAAAAATATTATATTAAATATGAATAACTAATGTATGATTATAAATAAAAAAAATTGTTTTTCATAATCATTCTGTATTTTTATTTTTCAATTATTTACTAATTTTAATTCTAATTAGGTTTCAGTATCTGCTGATGCACCACATGGTGTAAGTTGGGATTCTAAAAAACATACAGGTTATGTTGGATTAAAAAATCAAGGTGCCACATGTTATATGAATTCTTTACTACAAGCATTGTACTTTACTAATCAACTTCGTAAAGTAAGTATTGATTAAAATTATCATAGTTTTATGTATATGTTATAATTCTGCTCTAGGCTGTTTACAAAATGCCTACTGAAAGTGATGATAGTAATAAAAGTGTTGCACTAGCATTACAAAGAGTGTTTTATGAACTACAATTCTTAGACAAACCAGTTGGTACTAAAAAGTTGACTAAAAGTTTTGGGTGGGAAACTCTTGATTCTTTTATGCAACATGATGTTCAAGAATTTTTAAGAGTGGTATGTATTTATTGTAGTTAATTGATATATTGTATGAGACTAATCATTGATTTTTGAAGTTATTGGATAAATTAGAAAATAAGATGAAAGGTACATGTGTCGAGGGAACTATCCCTAAGCTCTTTGAAGGAAAAATGATAGTAAGTAAATCTTTCACTTATTTATTAATATTAAAATATTTTAATTATATTATAATATTGATCAATTATTTATATTGTAAAGATAAGTATATAAAAATTAACTATGTTAAATTTAATTATATTTCTTATTTCAGTCATATATTAATTGTAAAAATGTAGATTATAGTTCCAAACGAACTGAAACATTTTATGATATTCAATTGAATATTAAAGGAAAAAAGAACAGTGAGTTAATTCTATGAATAATGTCCAGATATTTTTTTTTCATTTATTATTATTGTATTTATAGTATATGAGTCATTTCAAGATTATATTCAAGTTGAAATATTGGATGGTGATAATAGATATGATGCTGGAGAGTATGGATTGCAAGATGCAGAAAAAGGTGTAATTTTTTCATCTTTTCCTCCTGTATTTTATTTGCATTTGATGCGATTTCAGTATGACCCTGTAACTGACAGTTCAGTTAAATTTAATGATCGGTATAGTATCAACATGATAATTATATTATTAACACTATATAATCAATACTAGTTTTTTCTATATATCAGGTTTGAGTTTTATGATAAAATTAACTTGGATGAGTATTTAAAAGTAAAAGAAAACACTCCAGCTGATTACATTTTGCATGCTGTTCTTGTTCATAGTGGAGACAATCATGGTGGACATTATGTTGTTTTCATAAATCCCAAGGGCGATGGAAAAGTATTTAATATTTGATATCTATGTTTTAATGATTATTCAATTTATTATCATTCTTACCTAGTGGTGTAAGTTTGATGATGATGTTGTTTCACGTTGCCCTAAAGAGGAAGCTATAGAACACAATTTTGGTGGTCATGATGGGGATGAAAATATTATGCCAATAAAACAATGCACAAATGCTTATATGTTAGTTTATATACGAGGTTCTGAATTAAAAAATGTTTTACAAGAAGTTACAATTAATGATATACCTAAAGAAGTTAGTAATATTTTATTTTTAAATTTTACCTAATTGTGTAGAATATATAATAACCTGTAAGTAGTACAATGAAAAAATAAATTATTAGAGTTACAGATAGTCTGTTATATAGCTAAATTTTATAATAATATTTTGACTAGTGATGATAAATATAAAATAGTAACTATTGAGAACTATTCATTAGTCTGTTTAAATAGTTTTTTAAATATTGGATAGTTTATACTAATAATAAAGTATTCGGTTGATAAATAGTTTTTAAAAACTATCAAATATTAAAACACCTATTAGTTATTTTGACCGTTTTTAACAAGTACTTTAATGTCTGTACACATCCATTTTATTAATTATTTACAAATGTTGTATTATTTTGTTAAATTATCTGTCCCAAAAATTTCACCATTTATTTTTTTTTTATTAGGTAGAAACCTACAATCTCATGAATAGTTTTCTAAGTATACTCCTCCCAATGCAATCCAAAACTTCACTCTGTTATTCTGTACTTATCCTAGAAAGCCTCAACTGAGACCTGTTGTAGAAAGCACTTTACAGCTTGTATTTCTGTAGAGTTATCCTATCAGAGATTTTTTCATTTTAGGAAAAAAAACTTTTGATTGTATCAAACAGAACAGCTTAAATCATGACCAAAAAAAAAAAAAAAGCAAGGTGCATCATCATTATACAAAAACTTTTAGCATCAGCATCACACATTGCTTACTCATGTCATAATTCTCTATTAAAATATGATGAATAACCATTAAGAGCATTTTACATTCTAAAATATCTGGACACTTATTTGTTAATAGAGCAAAAAACTTGGGAGTGATAAAATTATGTAAGTCTCGATGAGTCCAGTTCTATAAAAAAAAAACAATATTAGTCAACTATTTATCAATAATAATCATTTTTACCAAATCAAATTCAACTGTGCAAATAATTGTAGTTGATTGGACCTTAACATTGAAATGACTTAGTATATAAACAAAATGATTTTATCTGCTAAAAACACAGCATAATGTAAATTTTAAGCAAAATAAGAAAAAAAATATGATAAAAAAAAGCTGTTGGTATTAAATTTTCAGGTTGGGTACTAGAGTCTAGGGATGTTAAAGTACCATATTATTATTAGTAGTTGTGCCATTGATCATGTGCTCATTTTTTTCTACATCTCTTGAACCTATCAAATATTTAGTTGTAAAATATTGTGTTTTCCACAAAGATTCAAAATGCTTAAGCATTTTTTTTATAATATTAATAATATTTTTATTCAGTTTAATTAAAAGCTTATTAATTTTTTTACTCTATTCAAAATTGTCCTTTATCTATTTTTCAATGAGGGTATTGGTGAAACCCTTAATGTGTAGTTCATGTCTAGCAAGTAATTATTTTTTATGTAATTAAATTAATTTAAAAATAATTTTAACCTTATTGAATCAATTTTATGATCACTAAATGTGAAAATGTATAGTATTTTGTATAAAAAAGTATGATATAATAATGGCTAAAATATAATATATTAATGATTATGTTATTGTAATATTATTATAGTATAATGACAACCATAATAGTTTTACTCATAACTTTCAAATTTTTTTTTTTTTTGACTTTGTAAAATGTACTTTTTGTATAACATCATTCAATTTACAAAAAATATGCATAAAATAATTACTATTTAAATGGTAATCAAAATTTTCATGGTTTATAGAAAAAATGCTATATATTGGTACAGTTTTGTCTGAGATACTATTGAACACTATATCATGGGTTCTCAAGCTTTTGAGGTCCACGCCCCCTTCAAACTATTTTATATGTTCACGCCTCCCCCCTCACTACTATAAGATTGATATATGCATAACATTTATATGTAAACTATACTTTAATGTTGGTTATTGGATTAATATGAATACTTCAATGACGTTTTTTTAATATTAAATTAATTTATTTGCACAAAAAAAAATATTATTATAATTTGATATAAAGTTTATATCATCAATAACAAATAACTGTACAGTATAGAACTTTAAAAACCTGTCTTAATTTATAAATTATAACTTCATAGAAAGGTATTCTTAACTTCTTAACTACATTATCAGTATTTGAAAAGACAAATATAATTATAAATATACAGCAGTTTCAGACTGTACCCTATCAGTTACAGGATAAGTTTAAAACTATTAATTTATATAATATTAAGGATGTTATGTTGATATACTTATTTATATTTAGTTGGTGGAGAGGTTGCAAGATGAAAAACGTATTGAATCTATACGCCGTAAAGAACGTAATGATCTCCACATTTATACAAATATTCAAGTATTTTTAGAAGACTGTTTTGATAGCTACTTAGGAGTAGACTTATTTGATTTAGAACAACCTACATTTAGAACAGTCAAAGTTAAGAAATCCAGTAATTTGGATGAAATACGACAACTCTTAGCTGAAACATTTGTATACCAACTTTAATTTCCTTTATCAATCTTTATTTTTAATTAAAAATTATTCTTTTTAGAAGTATGATATGAGCCAAATAAGAATTTGGCCCCTTGCACCTAGTAAATTTGATTCTTTGAGACCTATGTATCTTGATCCTGAAGAGAATGGATCTAAAACCATTCAAGATATTCAAGAAAATACAGGATCTACTTGGAATATATGGCTAGAATTAGTTGAGCCTGGTGTTAGTTCATTGTTACCTTATGATAAGAATCAGCTACTATTATTTTTCAAGCTTTTTATACCAGAAGAAAAACTTTTGGTTTATTGTGGTTATCATTTTGTTAGTTATGAAGATTCATTAGGTAAATTTTTTTCAAAATGTCATTGTAAGAAAATTGGATACTCATTAATGAAAAATTATCTTTTAGAATCTCTCACTAGTTTTATGAATGAAAGAGCAGGATTTGATCCTGGTACCAAACTTGCATTTTATAAAGAAGTTAATAAAGGGGAAGTTGAAAGAATAACAAAACTTGAAGACCCAATTGGTGAAGTAAGAGATTTTATTTACAAATTTAAGATTAAGTTTAAAGAAATGAACTATATTTATTATTTAATTTTCGAAATTTAAACAAATTAATATATTTAAAAATATATTATTCCAACTAATATATTTTATAGTATCTATTCCAGAAAACACTTATATTCTTGTTTCTTAGAATAAAATAATTGAGTATCACTAAAATTCACAATGCTTGGTGTAGACATTTATCTCTTTTTCTAAGTAAAGTGTGAAAAGAGAGGTATATAGTAAGAATTCTAGTTGTGCAATGAAACATTCCTCCAAGTACTGTACAATTTCACAAATTTGTTATCATTTTTATTTTATTTTTTAATTTTATGTTTTATTATACACAAATTGCAATAAGTAACATATAATATATAATATTCTTATTATGTCTGATGATTAACCAATTATTAAACGACAGTATGGTAAATATCTTTAAAAAAAAAACAAAAAAAGAATTAAAAGAGTAGATGTTTATAAAATATATGTAAACTTGAACATATTTTTAAAACGAATATAGAGGGAAATAATAGGAGCTAGGAGACCACTTTTTCAGTGTCTCGCATATTCTGAGAAATTGTTTCTTTCTGAGAAACCTTTGTTTCATAAACTATTTTGCAATATTTTATTTATTAGATAATTTTTATGCATTAGTTCTACAATATTAAGTTTTATAGTGTAAAAATTATTTTAACTGCCCTATATATAATTATAATATATTTATCATTACTTAATTATACAGGTACGTTCAAAAGTATCTAAACTCCCCTTACATTTCCAAGCAGATGTGCTTCTGTCGGGCAAAATGAGGTCAGGGTGATTGTAGGCACTTCCATCTACAAATCCATTTCCCACTCGGCTGCAAACAATGATTCGATGTGTATCATTCACACATTGAAGCTCTGTGAAGGAGTCGTGTCGAGATTCCAGTGGTGCTAAAAATGAAGTGAACATAAAGGAAGCATATGATGGTGAAGAGTAATGTTTTGGACGCAAGTTTATATATGGTACAGAGAGTCTCTAGTTAATAACGCAATAAACAGGACCTCCTCAAGGACAGGACTCAAATGCCTATTAGAGTTCAACACAGCTTCTAGCTTTGTTGTTGTCCATACTCAACGTTGATGGCCTCTCAGTACAGTATTTGTCATGCAGTACCTCCCATCCTTTCTTGAAGTCTCAGTGCCACGTTTAAACTTGCGTCCAAGACATCACTTCACCATCATGGGCTTCCTTTATGTGAATGGATTTATAGATGAAAGTGCCCACTACCACCACCCTGACCTCATTTTGCCCGACAGAGGCTGATCCGCTTGGAGATGTAAGGGGAGTTTGGATATTTTTGGACGGACCCTGTATTAATAAAAAATTCTAACTAACAAATTGAACAATGAAATATTATTACTAATGGTGTGGCTGGCCAAATAACTTCTTTTTATCATACGATAATTCAGTATTAATGCCAATATAAAAACTTATATAATTATGAAATATGTATGATTGGTAACTTACAAAGCAGCAATTATAAGGACATATTTTTTTAAATTCTTGGAATTAATTAATAATATGTTTAATATGGTATTAATGTCAGTACATTATTTTATATTGTATGAATTTTTAATGTTTTTAATTTGTATATCATCAAAAAATTTTATATTTGGCTTTTTCTTTTTAGTTCATGCCAAATTTGTATGGAGAAATATTAATTTATCAAAAAGAAGAATGTTTAAGAAATTATCCCACTGTTATTGATCACTTCAAGTGAGAATTAGAATAGATGTTTTTATTTTAATGTTAACATAGATTTTGTATATCGTTCAAAATATTTTCATGAGTACATATTCATAAGTTCTATGCTAATGTTTCAAAAGTTGTAACTATTCTACTCACTTTGTTCTCAATTTTTTATTTCAATACAATTTAATTATATTTTTTTATAGTAATACATTAAATAATGAACTTATTACAACAAATCAATAACAACGGGTTATTTTTTTTTATTTATGTTGTTTTTGTTATTCTTGACTTTTTTCCAAAACCAACTCTTATAAATGAAAAACACGTTAAGGTGATAGTATAATTGTAATTTAGAAATATTTTTTAAAATTAAAAATATATATTTAAATAATATTAGCCACAAATGGATTAATTCTTATTCTATTTTAAATAGATAGTACTTATTGCTCAAAAATGAACTCAGCTACAAATTTGAAATATTAGCATAAAAGTGATGTGATGCAAATACCAGAAAATATTTTGAATAAAATTTATTTTTATTAGGAATATTTCGTTGTTATTTATGTTATACCACATGTTACCAGACATAAAAAAAAAAAAAAATTCTATTTTGTAGATATGTGGTATTACATTGACAACTACATTTTATAAATGTGTTCTTTTTTTAATTTATNATAAGTCATATTATTATTTTAAGTTTTAGATAGTATTTTTTTGCATAATAAATAATGTAATTATAAATTTTTTTTTTTTATCTGGCCCGCGAACTCTTTTTAATTTGTAAATGTGGCCCGAGAATTAAAAAAGGTTGCCGACCACTGCTTTAAAGCATAGTAAACCTGAAAGTAATTTTCATTGAAAAGATGAATTTCTGCTGCATATTTGAATTATTTCATAGTTATATAACAGTACAGGAGAGCTTTATTTTTATAAATTCATTGTATTTTACATAAAACCTCAGCTCCAAGGGTCATTTACTTTTTTATAAATGTATTGTAAATAAAGATATCNTTTAATATTTTTTAGTTTTTTTAAATTAATAATATTTTTAATATAGTTTTAATTTTACTTAATTAACTAGCCACAAGTGATCAATTTTTATTATATATATATTTAATTTATTTAAAACTATTTTAACTATCATTTTCAGGAATGTAAATGCTCAGGTGTATATTACATTCAGTGATAAATTGATTCCTGGCGATCCAGGTTTTATTATAGGATTGTCAATGTATATGACCTATCATGAAATGTTGCAAGAAGTTGCTGAACGAGTTTCTGTTGACCAACGAAAGTTACAACTTTATTTCAGCATAACGTAAATTACTTTACAACATATCTTATAGTTGCAATGTGCTGAGTTATTTCGGTATTTAGTTTATGTTAGAAATATTCTGAATATTCAATATTTGGCTTAATTTTAAGTTTAAAAAATATTTATTCTTACTGAAATAATTAGAAGATACAATTTACAGGAAGAATCAATTTATAACAATGAAGAACTTTTTTATTTATTTTAGAATAAATTACCAGAAGTTATCAACATCAGTAACTATTGATAGTAATATTATAAATCCTTCCATAAATTTTATTTGAAATTGCTTATGTTAGTGACCCAATTCTAATTTTATGTAGGGAGTAATTCATTTAATAAATATTATTATTTTTTCATAAGCTATATAACTATCTTCACAGACTTTCCAATTAGGAAATAATTTGACAATAAATTTTACTGAGTATTAATTATTTGATTTAAAATATTGGAGTCCATATGTATTCTAATATTTCTTTCCATAATTTTTTTTAGTTTTTATTACTATAACATTTTTGATAATAGAATAATTTAAATTTTATTTTGTAGTTGACTTCTTCATCTCGCTCGTATCCCATTTACTTAGGTTAGACCACAATATCCTTATTTTTTGTTTGACACAATGTCACATCAACTATACATACACCTATAATCCTTATATCACTTCTAATTACATCCAACCACCCTTTTCTTCAACATTCAGTTTCATAACTATTCTTAAGCTACCGATTTTTCTTTATTCATAATATGACCAAACCATCTAAGCCTGTATTCTCTCATCTTATTCATAATACTTCTTTATTTCCTTTTATATGATCATTCCTTTTTTTTTTTTTTTTTTTTTTTGTGTATATAAAATAAATAATTTTCATTTTTTTACATTGTATTTAAACTTAGAAACATTATTTAAGTAGATGCGTATCCACCAGCTACATGTAATATAATTATCATGATTTTTCATTACAATAATGCAATTGTTATTTTTCAATGATATATTATGTTTTGTAGTGGTCAAAAAGAATGTCCTGGTGAACCAATTAAAAACTCTTATAATGGTCCTATAAGAGAGCTTATATCCAATAATAGTGGTAAACGATTTCCAAAAAAATTTTTCTACCAAGAAATGCATATGCCAGTTGATGAATTAGAGAGTAAAAGACCAGTTAAAGTAAATAAATTGATAATATTATTTTTCAGCTAAACAAAAATATTAAAATTTTACAGATTATTTGGTGTGGCCCAAAATTAAAAGATGAAAGAGAAATAATTTTATACTTAAATAAAAATGACAATTCATGTTCTCATTTTTATGAAGTCTTACAATGCAGTGTTGAATTGTCTCCCGAAGGTTCTGGACAATTTAGGTATTCAGCTATAATTTAAATTTTTATTTTTTTTATTATTTTGTATTTGCTTAATTTATAGAACATTAGAAATAATGTCAGCTAAAATAAGCAAATGGTTTAACCCTGGAGTACGAATGCCCGATATTAATGCAGTGTATCCTGCAAAATATTATAGGTAATATTATTTATTAGCATAAAATAGTTTTTAAGTATTTAGATACTTTTATAAGAAGATGTTATATTTCTAATGTTATTTGATTTTTAGGGTTTTATTTATTGCTTAATCAACACTTTTTTAAATAAAACAAATTTTGTAAAGTTTAAAGTAAATTAACTATTAACACTGAAGCCTTTGAACTAACTTATAAATGAGTTGAGAAGATTTGAATATAATTTGTTATTGTTGATTACTTATTTATAGATAAACATAACATGATTATTTATAGATATGAATTTTATTTGTATCTCATGTTTTCTTTAAGAATAATGTGTTTTCTTAGATGTTATATACAATGATCATTTTTTGGTGTTTGTAATCTTGAAAACCCTCCAAGAAACATAAAATAAAGTTATTGAATTTTTTTTTTTTACAATTTGTGTTAGAGAAAGGAGAAAACTTGAAATTGTAATACCTACTTAACTAAATACAGGATGATCCTTTTCACATTAGCCATTCATTTCTTTTTAAAATAGTAATTATGTTAAGAAAATCCTTTTTGGTATATTTTTATTTATCAGTTGTTAACTAATTTTTTAACTTATCCTTTATATCTAAAAAGAATGTCAACTTGTCATTTGAGGTGACTTGACACTCGTTTTTTCTAAAATCTAACTAATTAAAATGTTGAGATAATAATACAATATTAATACTCTAAAGCTATGTTAATGTAGATCTTTACTGCAAAGTATAATGCAGTGTGATGTTTTTAATGCTAGCCGCTCAATTTCTCTTAAAATAATTATTTTATTATAATTTATAATAATCTGTTCTGAAATATTTTTTAAGTTCATCCCTTTGTCTTATAGTATTTTTTTAATGGCATTATACATATTAACTAACTAGTTAGTAAAATAGGAAATTATGTAATTTAATAATTCACTGGTCAAAAACAACTTTTGGATCAGTATTTCAAAAGTTGGATCATGCAATTTTTATTATTGGACATTTTTTTTCCTCACTTCTCCTTCTAGATATAAAAATGTGAATAACATCTGGAGTACTATTCCAAAAAATGTTATAAATCAGTCATTTTCTTAATTACATAATTTTTATTTTATAAGCTAGTTAAATATATATATGTTGTTAAAACAATTAAATTGATATCATACCTATATAACACATAAGGGATGAATACAAAAAATATTTTATAATAGATAAATTTATATATATATATATATGTAACTAACAGAGCCAAAAAAAAAATAATTACAAAAAAAACTGTTATTTTAAGATAAAATGAGTGACTAGTATTAAAAAAAATACTCTGTATAGTAGTATTTATATATTATATAAATTTATATAATTAAGCTAATATTAAAAATTGAAGTAAGATTTATAAAAATCACTAAAACTCTTAAAATCTAGTTAAATAGTGATATGGAGTAGCTATGTATTAAGGAAAAGTGAATACTCATGGGGGTGTAGTTTGACTAATTTCATCTTATCAGCTACAGAGATATGGTTTTATTTTTTTATTGTAAATTTTTTCTTTTATATTAAATTTAGTATTGTAAAATATGCATATTTAATAGTAGTCCTAATTTAAAAATAGGGTTGAAGAAATACCAAAAGATGAATTGGAATTGAATGAAAATGAATTATTAGTTCCTGTTAATCATTTTTCCAAAGAAGTGTACTCAACGTTTGGAACACCTTTTCTAATTAAAATTATTCATGTAAGTATTATTTAAAATATGAAAGATTTTTAACTAAAATAAATATTTGGACTAATAAGGTAATAATTTATTATCTTAAAGGAAGAAACATTGGCTAATGTAAAGGAAAGAATTACTAACAAGACTGGAATTCCAGATAAAGAACTAGAAAAAGTATTATACTACTTCAAATTTTTAGTATAAGAAATATACTAATATAGGGCGAGTCAGAAACACCTTCAGGATTTAAATTCTCATTTAATTTTTTGAAAATGACTAAAAAAATACATCTATTTTATTAAAACTTACAGTAAAATGACATAAACAATAATGAACTTATCCCCCACTATTATGACTATAAATAATAAACAAATGTATTATCTAAAACTTCTGAATCATGTCTCCTTGGCAAGCAAAATATCCATCTGCTTTGGAATCTTTTATGGATTTTATTTTACATGCTATCTTTAATCTTTCAAAACTTCATTATAGTGTCACAAGCTGGAGCCTTTTTTATCATATCATTATTTAAAGATAATGAAATTTCATAACAAAGATTCTCTATTTTTGTAGTAATTTTTACTGCCAGAAAAATTTATTTTTTAAAAAGCTATGTTATAGAAAAAAAACAAATATGTTAACAACTTGCCAAATCTACAATCAGAATATTCATAGATTATAAAACTAATATAAAAACTGTTATTAGACTTAATAAAAAAAAAAAAATCAGTTTCACTGTAAATCCTAAAGATGTTTTTGATACACTCTGTACATTCAGGATAGAATATATCAGACAACTCTTATAACTTTTGATCATTTTGCTATGAATTTTTACCTTCTATATGTAGTTAAGATATTAGTTCTAATCTACTTTTTTTTTCTCTGTCACTAGATATAATTATTCTGTTCCTAATGGACTAATTTTGCTTATAATACGTCTAAAAATCACATGACACATCTAGTTGAAACTTTAAACGCCAATATTTTGAAAATTTCTCTTTAATTTCAATAATATAAAGAGAAATGATACAAAAAAATACATTTGTCATAAAACAATCAATGCTGAAATCTTTACTTTTCTCTTTATATTGAAATAATTTTTTTTAAAACTGGATAGATTATTGCAAAAATTTTACTGATAAAGTATTTTCCTTGCTAAAGGCATACTTCTTTTAAAAATCCAATCATTAATCAAGGTACTGTGAAGGAATAAAAACTATTTCAAAAATTTTCTATTTACAATTTTTGATAATGTTCTAAAAATTTTTTTAACATATATCACATTAAAGCTAATGGAACATATTAAGATGTAATGTATTACATTGATTATAATGATTACAATGTAATTCGATAAAAAAGCAAAAATATTCAAAAACTTTATTTCTAGGAGTGAACTCGTAAAAGTGGGTAATAATGGCTTCAATACATAACAATCTGGGCTTAATACTACGTATTTATAAAATTTGTTTGTACCACTCTTGAGACACTCAATTCTGTGAAAATTATCATAAGTGTATGCAGTACCACAGAAATATTAAATATTAATAATAATATTGACATTAATATTAATATTTATTATTACGTTGAGTGAATGGTTCCATTATATCTTCCAAAATAAAAATTCTAATTAATACACATTGTTTAGTGTTAAGACAAACTAACCTGAATATCTATTTCTTATTAATCAACTTTGATGTCTAAAAATAAGTTTATTAATCCATAAAATACCAAGCCTTGATATTAATTATGATAAATTAAAGCCAAAATTTAAAAAAATTGTTATGTACTATATGATTAAGAAACCAAAGATGTTCTGACAACTTGTTTTCTCTTAATTATCATGCACTAAAATTGATAATTATGTCATTTTTAGTAAATATGACAGATTTTTAAATAATCTATTTGAATAATGTATGAATCATAATAAAAATTTTCGGTGTTAAATATTAATTTAAGATAAGTATTATATTTTTTAAGAATCTTCTCATTTGTTAATGTACTAGAAAGGGGGCATATTATTATCAAATTTTTTCTTTTTCAATTTTTGATAACATTCCAAAAAACCTGATTTTTTAATTCTACATCTAATTACATCAAATATAATGTATTTCAAGATAAAAAATTGAAAACTATCTGAAATTTTGATTTCTGTGGGATTTAATCTTATGTTTAACAATTTTTTTATTAAAATGTCCAATTAAATAGTTTTAAGCATAGAAAAAAACATGTATACATCTTCAAGCACTTGAGTATGTATTATACTTACAAATCATAAAACTAGTAATCAGGATATAAATTAGGAAATAGAAGTCATGTTATTTTTGTAATAATTCAATAATTCCTTCTAAAAATAATACTATCAACAGATTTTTATTAAAGTGTTTTTTTATGATAGTGATTTTGATAACCATCAGATATCATCTATACTTATCCCAACTGTATTTATGTCTGAATATTTATTTTAATTATTAACATTAATAATTAAATTATTTATATTTTAATTTTTTTCAAATACTCATTGAAACGTTTTATAACAGTGATTTTAATAACTGTTAATTATCAATCAGTACAAATTAAAAAAAAAATTCCTATACTCCATTATGCTAGATTTCAGCTATACTTGACTTTTTTTTAATGTTAAAATAGCAATTTTTTAAACATTTTTTTCGCAAAATAATTTAAAGATTTTATAACAAATTTAGGATAATTACTTTAGTTACAAAAATTTAAATATATACAGACAAATAATAAATATACTTTTAACATAGTCTAATAATGTTATAACAATCATTAAAAAAAATAAATGCAGCGAATTGATAATTGGAACAAAAGTTTTGTCCTATTGATCTGTTCTATTCAGTATACATTTAAATTTCTAATTAATAAAAAAATTTTAAAGTATATTCATTTTGTTATTTGGCTTTAGTATAAATTCGCAATATGTCAAGGAGTTAGAGCAAATTTCATTACCGATTCTCACATTATGAGTTTACAAGATTTCAAAACGTCACCAGCTAGTAAGTTAAATTATAAACACTAAAAAATTCTATTTATTATAATTATAATTTAAAGACTTCATATTTTTATCCAAAATTATGAAAAAGTCAGAAAATATTACATATTAGAGACCAACTGAAATGTTATATTGACATATGTTATTTTAAAATTGTCTTAAATATAAATTATTATTTTCAGATCAAAGTCAAGGACAGCGACCCTGGTTAGGTATGGAACATCCAAATAAAACTAAACGTACTCGGTTGAATTATTTAGAAAAGGCTATTAAAATTTATAACTAAACATTTTTGTTAAAAAAAAAAATGTTTGAAAATATTAAATCTGAGTAGTGTCATGGTGATAAAATGATGATAAACCTCTTTACCTACGTGTGTAATTTTTGTGTTTGATTAAAATTTCTGTTCTATTTATATACAACTCTGCTTAATTAAAAACAATTTTTAAGGTACTAACTAAACTAAATTTTATTTGATGGATCATAGTACTTAATACACATATTTTATTTTATATGTAATTTTCAAAGTTAATTTAACTGTATATTTTAAATTGCTATTTGGACTCGACCATTCAGAATTTATAATTTTATTAAAATTTCCTTCATATGTGTAAATGTAGAATAAAATTTCTATGTCACAATATTTGTGTTATAGTATCGGATTTACATAAAAGTATAAATTACCCTGTTGTAACTTGGTTTGTTAATCCTTATTGGTTAATAACCAGTTGTTTTTGTTAACTTTTAAAGGGGTGGCTATTCCTATTATTTATTTGAGTTTTGATTTAATCTGAAAATTATCTTCAGTTGTCACTGAAACACTTGTTAATAAGTGAAGTTGAGTTAAATGCTAAATGAATTAATATATTTAAACTTTTGTAGTAGTATTTCACTTTAGACTACTTGCAGATCATGTGTGGGTTAAAGTTGTAAATCCTTTACTATTATTGTAACAGATTTGTTAACCTTAATTTCGACCTGCCTATAAAAAATAAATAATAGATTTAAAATGTTAATTTATTTTTGGAAGCAATGTAATTGTGTAAATAAATTCAATTATTTGTTTTTATATATTTTTGATTTATTATTTTTTTAATATAATTATTATTATTATTAATTTTTTTTTTGTTAATTTATTTATTAATTGATGAAAGTTTCAAATTTTATTATAAAATTACAAATTCTATTATAAACTGCTCATAAATTGTATGATAATAATTGTATCTGTGAATAGCTAACACCAGAAGATAATAATTATCTTAATATTTAGTGTATGTTGAAAAATACACTAAATATTTTATCATTATAATTCTCAACTACTACTAAATAGCACTTAAGTAAGATGTTTCTTGAAATTTTAATTTACTTTCTTTTTTTCAGAAGTCAAAATGTGTTTTGTATTGTGTTAAAATAGTGTAAAACTAAACTAAGTTTATCTTTGATAATTTTTTCTAATTTTAAAAATGGGTACAATATAGTAACAGCTCCAATCTTTTGTTGAAGCTATGTTTTAATTTAAGATTTTATTAAAATGATATACTTGGTTATTATTAACTAATAACAAAAACAAAAATGATCTATTATTAAGATAGGCATAAATTGTTTTAACAATATTTTAGTTTTTTTGTTAAGCTCTCGTACAAAAAGTTATTCTTTTTTGATCTCCTGATAATTTTAAAAAAATGGAGCTTACATAATACTAAGTGAATTTGCTTGTACTTTTTAAAAATAGAGTCATTAAATAAATACATACATTTTTTATTAAAAAAATAAATTTTTAATTTAATCTAATATTTCATTATTAACACATTACTGAAATATAAAGTTGTACCAAGAGTAATGTTTAAAAAAAAACTTATTTTGTTTAAAAATACTGTACGACTCTGCTATAAATTATTTTTCAGTATTAATTATTTAAATGTTAAGATATTTTTGATCTTTATTGATTAAAACGAACATTTTATTTAAATGACCTTTCAAAACTTGTAAAACGTTAGCGAAAATATATCAAACAAATTTTTCTACATAAGGGTAGTATGTTGAAAAATAAGTATATACGGAGCAATTCTTTTTACACTAGCCATTCAATTTCTTATAAAATAATAATTATTTGTTTTTCTAGCATTGGTTAGTTACACATGTATTTCCATTTATCCGTTGTAAAATATTTTTTATTTTCATCCCTTATACTTAATTAATGAGTACGGGTTGAGGTGACACGAATAAGCCAGTTATAAAAAATACCACCAAGCTGTTGGGAAGAGTTTGGTTTGCCTTTCGAAAGTTCTTATAATTTTTATGCCTAAGCCGGTGGAAGTGCGGACCAGGAAATAATAAATGTTAAATTGATAAAAATAGCATCATCCGGGATTTACCACTAGTAATTACTTTAAAGTTTAAATTGTTGATTATTTTTAAAATACTAGTTTAAATGTTGTTACTGACCAGTCATTTTCTTAATTACATCGTTTTCTATTTCAAAACCTTTTCCAGTTTTTTTTAGTTACCTTTTACGATAAGCAGGGATTGCTCTGAGTTTATCTTTGGACAAAGACGGCAAATTTTATAGAATTCTTTTATCAGTTTAACACTTAAAAGTTTATATTTTTGGAGTTATAACATATGTATTACGTACGAGTGGTCATAAATACAAGTAATTAATAGCATCTTTGAAACAAAACAAGCAATTAGATTCATTTCTATTCATATATATGTATCGTTTATTGCCAATTACTGCTCTACACCCAGAGAAAAACCTCGATCTATATAATAAATTCATTGTTCAATTTGATAAATATATCATTACTATTGAATCTATGATATATTTATCAATATGATCATTTTAGCTTCGATGCGAAGCTGAGAAGGTATTAATTTTACTATGATGTGTTTTTTTATTTTTTT